GGCTAACAGGAAATAATAGTGAAAAAAGGTAGCAGAAAACATCCTGAGGGTTTGACCTGGTTCCCAGCATACAGTATTTTGACAGGTGTATTTAGTGACAACTGGTCCTTTGTGTGTGCAGATCTGTGCAGCAGAGCCATGCAACAGTGTGAGCACAGGTTTGCAGTGCGAGATGGACCCACTGTCTCAGACACAGGCCTGTGATGTGCTGTCGTCCCTGGGCTTCAGCGTGGTGGGCTGGTACCACTCACATCCCTCCTTCAACCCCAACCCTTCAGTCCGGGACATAAACACACAGGACCAGTTCCAGGTACAACATATAAGAGAAGTCACACTGGAGTTGGTCTACCTGAACGTGTGATCTGATTCTCTTTGTCCTGATTCTTCCAGAGTTATTTCTCACGTGGCGGAGCCCCGTTCATTGGGATGATCGTGAGCCCATATGACCCGGCCAACCGCTCCCCCCACTCCCAGACTACCTGCTTGTTGGTGAAAGAGAGCCAGGAGCCTTCAGGCCCACAGAGTATGTTAAGCACACACACAATTCAAAACTTTAAAACAGTTAAGATCAAGAGGCTTTGAAATCAAGCTGACAATGTAGGTCAGTGATTTTCAGCCCACAGAAGCAGTTTATCCTCTGGCTGAGTCGCTCTCTCTGTTGCTCCCCAGAACTACCCTACAGATTCGACTTCCTGTCATCACAAGACATTCCAGACTGGGAACAGACGTTGAGAAGAGCTCAGTGGATCATCCAGAAATACTGTCAAACACCCGGGTGAGTCAGACTGTAGTGGTTGTCTTGACACAGATCTAATGCTGATATTGGCTTTTTGTGATTTTTGAATTTGTCTCGTAAAACTTAATGGTGGAGTATCTAAACTGTTGTTTTTCTCTTCTGGGTAGGAGTGTTCAGATGGACAGATTTTTCCGTAAAGACTCCCATCTCACCTGTCTGGAGAAGGTCAGTCCAGCCGATCAGTCTACCTAAGTTCACACTTCCTAGTGGCTAATGGCTTCATTAACTGATTTACCCGTGCTTCTTCTTTACCTCTTCCATCAATCCCCTCCCTTTAGATGCTGTCGTCTCTAGCCAGGTACCTGGAGCCCCTGCCAGACGAGGAGGGAGACCCCTTCCTCACCCAGATCCAGGCCCTTTTCCAGTCAGACTTCATTGCAAAGCAGCAATTATCTGACCAGGAAGAGGGAGAATCTTTAAATACCTCATCCAGACTACTGGACTCAGATGACCTGGTTTGTGATCAGCTGATAAGTGAGGAGATGCACGAGGAGAGAGGAAGAGACTCTGACCCAGATTCTGGCAGAGCTTCAGACAGGCGTGTACAGCGCGCCACACGGACCACAGACACAACCTCAGAGACAAACACCAGCACAGTGTTACATCTGGGCTCTGTGCTGTCGACTGAACATGACTATCTACTGTGATGGACCACACATATGACTGTACTTGCATTATTATTGCAAAGTATTAATGTTTGTATCAGTATTACCAACTTACTCATTTCTTTTTTTAACATTTTATTATTTGAATCTTTTAACCAAAAACCCAATGATTCACCTAATACAGGTGTGTGTGTGTGAGTGTGTGTTAGTGTGTGAGTGAGAGAGAGAGAGATATAATTTTCTCAGTTTTACAGGTTCCTTTTTTAAAAATGAAAATAAAAATCTATTTTCATATATTGTTGTTTGATATTATTTTTGTGTAGTAGCTTGATATATATTTTTGTTACAGTGCTTTAAGGGTCTGTTGTTCACTACACAATGTCTAAAACTGAGGTGAAACTTTTCCATACAAGAAAATGTCAAAAAGTGGTCGCAGTAAATGCTGTTTTCCATAATGATAAGATTAGCTGGTTCAGTTAAATATCCCTCCAGGCATGTATTAGTACATATACAAATAGTAAATAACAACAATAATTTGTGTCTGATATGTTTTCCTGCAAAAAAGTTCCACATTAAAATACTCAAAAAGGAATCTACTATTTCTTCCTCATTAAAAATGACTATGAATCTATGAATATGCAAATTATGCTGCAAACAAAATGTCTCCTACTGCACTGTAAAGTCCATTCTCAGTGTATGTGCACTGGTGTTGCTACATCACATTTGTATAAATTGCAAATTAAACCAGAATTAATTTCCAAACTATCTGTGACATGTGTGACACCGTGCAAGAAATCAGATTTTCAATGAGCACAGAAACGTTCAGCAGATGGATATGAAAACATCCTTCTAGTGTCCCACTCTGCACAGACATCACTCTGCACAGTGAAGCTCAGACATCCAGCTGTAGGAACTGTAGGAAGAAGAGAAACATGTTATTAAGTGGAGGGGAGGGGGGGGTGGGTATTGCGCCCGGAACCTTCTTCACGGAGTTGTTTCTAGGGGGGTCGTTTTAGAAGCAGCAGCGCCCAAACAGTCAAAGTTCCGTTCAGTCTGTTGTTAAAAGTACTGAGGTTTCGTGTCGTAATGTTTCTGAACTCGGTGTGTTAGTGTGTTAAATACAAACTTTTGGGACAAACATTCCCGTGCACAGCGGTTGTGTGGCGGGAACAGAGGTGAGTCGTAGCTAGCGTCCACCGGTGGCAGTGACATTGACAGCTGGCAGCAGTAAGGACTTTATATGAACTTCACTAACAGCTGGAGGAAAAACCAGTAACTCCAACGTCCTTGGACAGTCATTTCTACATTAGCATGGGGCGTCGTCTGCATTTGCTAAACACTTTCCTTCCGCCAGGTCAGTCTGAGGAGTGAAATCAGGAAGAGTGAACTTACCAACAAGGACAATGGTTTTACTCTGTGTTCATCTGTTCAGGAGCAGTCGCCTCTGTTCCCTCCCTGCACATCTCACACGACACGTCCAGGTGTGCAAACAAAGTGGACATCCTCTGAAGGAGCCACACTCTGTGTCCTCTAAGATCAGCCCTCACCTAAGAGCCTCTCCGACTGGACCACCCCTCCTACCCTGCAGCAATGGTCGGACGCTGTGTTTCCACATCAGCCCCAAAAGCAGTTTACCCCTGCAGCAGTCTGGTGCTGTCCTGACCCAGGTCGGACACCACTTCCACACCTCAGCCCCTGTGAGGGCCCTGCCTGCTCCTCTCATATGGCTGGTGCTCAAACCTCTGCAGAAGCTGCTGGCTATAATACTGGGCAGGTAGGAGCTGTGCGATGTGCCCTCATTATTACACACTTTAAAGTTGGATGAGCAGTGTTGATTCATTAAAACACTTACAACCAGTCCGCACTGTGCTGCATGTTCAGTGCATGAATGAAGAAGTAATTACGTATAATTATTCTGAATACATTTATAAGTGGAGTATTTCCAACTGCAAATAGTAAGGCAGGTTAATTGACAGTAATTGTATGTTTTGTTATGTTTTCATATTAAATTGACAAATGTGTTCATTGCTTTAAGGCACACGGTTATTTAATTCTACTTAATGCATTTTTGTGTTCATTAATTAATGAACACCTTCTTAATTGTTTTATCAACAATTGTAGTAATTGTGTCATTTTAAATAAGAACAAATAAATTACCTTTATAGGTTGCTGCTGTGTTACTGTTCATTGTTTCTAATGAACTGATTTAAAAAAATCCCCTTCCATTACCGTGTAATGATATGTGTACAGACTTAATATTTAACCTGATTTTATTTTATTATCAAGTCACCCATTGTGTTACCTTCTGTCTGGTCTCCCCTGTTACGTCTTGTTTCACTAATCTGAGGAGAAGAAAACTGGTAAAAACTTTAATTTTTTTTGGCACACATTCATTCATTCACTCACTGGTTTGTTTAAAACTGTACAATGAATGTATTGCACCTGATACAGTATAGCACAATGCTTTCCAGCTGCTGTCCCTGGTGTGTATGTGCAATATATAACAATAAAAATGATAAATCCATATAATCAATACAGCTGTAAGAAGGACCAGTGCGTATAAGAGAGGCATTATCAGACCTTAATGATGACTTGACTGTCTTTCTTTAAACCACTTTTTAACATTAGTTTTAAACTAATACACTCTAATAAATACAGCATTTCACTGTTTTGTTGATGTAATTGAAAAAGCAGTTGAGCACATTTTGTTGAGTAGTGTTTTATATACTACTCAACAAAATAATGGTCTCCCCTTGTTCATGATTTCTTTTGTTTTATTTCATCATGAGCTGTTAGAATAAAAGTGTTGCCCCCCCCCCCCTTATTAAATTTAAAACATAAACATTGACAATTTAAGTGTATATTACCCCCAACCATAGAAAATAAATGTATAAAATAGGATAATAATTAAATAAATTACAGCAGTGTATAGTTTTCAGACAGTTTCAAATCATTCAGAATTATGCGGGCTGCCACTTTCTTTATCCACATCCCAGCACAGAGTCTGGCTCTTATAAAGTAAAGAAACACTGGTTATTAGCAAAAAAAAAACATTCAAAGCTCAATAAGTTTGTTTTTTTCAATAAAATAATAGTGGTATGAATTTGGGTTTTTGTCCAGTTCTTCAAGAGCATGTTTAAACAGTTTACAAAGCTGTTGTTCAGGCCTGCGACCAGGAGGTGGCATAATAAGGCTATTGTGATAATATCATAGAGTGCATGTATATCATAGCTGCATCTGTATTTACAGTCTGAATACATTTTAAACGTATTAAACCATGTTTGAGATATACTCTGCATGTTTTTTAAAGTTGAAGTTAGAATCAACAATCCAGCCTAGATACTTGAAGTGGTTGACAACTTCTATCTTTTCTCCTCACAGTAAGATCTCAGGATTAAGAGTGTTGACTTTTTAATTGAGAAAAACATAGTCACACACGAGGCTGCATAACACACACCACCACTGAGGCTTCATTAAGTCATTTAGTCTTATTTTGGGTCAGAGAACTGAATTTGGAGACATCTTCAGCCCCCCCATCATGGAACTCCCTGCATTACATAGAGCTGTTTTGTTTAGTCACTGTTTCCAAACGTCTTGGCCTACTTGTCCACTTTAATATTTGACTGTTTCCTCTGGGCAAACATACAAAATTACTTCAGCGTTTTGTGCATAGTACATTTTTGTGAACATATTTTATGCATGTTTTGATGCTACTTTCTTGGCCAGACCTACTTTTTTAAAAAAAAGATTATTGATCTCAGTGGGTCTGCCTGGATTCCTACAGTTCCAGCTGGAACTTTTGCTGCACATTTTTCTAGTTGCCTTTTTTCCTAAACACATGAAAGGAGCTTCAAATTATTCTTTTCTTTTCATTTCTTTTACCATTGTAAGGCTGTATATGATTCTAAATTTACTTCATGCGGCTGTATATCACAGACCTTGTATCCTCCCCCTGTTACAGGAGTATAAGGAAGTGGTGGGTGGCTCTACCAGCCAACCGCCGGCAGCTCATGCGCCAATGGGTCTGGCAGCGCCGCTGGCATCTGGCAGCTGGGGCAGGCGTTGCTATGGTGATTGTAGCACTCCTTCTCCTGACCCACCTGGATGAGTCCCCAGTGACGGGACGCACCCGCCTCCTGGTGTTCAGCAGAGAGAACTACATGAAACTGGCAACTCTGACTTCAGAGGCGGTAAGAGAAGGAAGAGGGGGGTTAGGTGTGTGTGTGTGTGTGTGTGTGTTACAAGATTCATAGAAAATTACACACACTTTTAACAAGAATCATTGAGATGATAACACTTATGACAAGTAAGATGACATTTAGTGGATGGATGAAGGAAGAAAAATTTAATATGAAGAGATTAAGCAAATGTAATTATTCCCTAAAATGCTTGTTGCGTGTGTGTGTCTGTGTCCGTGTCCGCATGCAATTCAGTACATGGAGGAGTTTGCAGAGATGCTGGTTCCAGTCACCGACCCTCGTCACCAGGTGGTGGAGCGGTTGGTGCAGCACCTGGCACTAAGGAACAAGGACATCCCTGAAGTGTCTGATGTAACCTGGAACGTCCACGTGGTGCAAAGTCCCAACGTCAATGCCTTTGTCCTCCCGGTCAGTAACAGTAGCAGAAACAGATGTAGATTTCATATTAGATACTCATACTATCACGTCATAGCATCCTTAAACTCACATGTGAGGAAGTCTTAGCATCAGACTTTACATCTCCTATAAAGTATGTTTGCAACAGAGCAATGTGGATTAATTTTATAGCCAAATTAGTATAATATGAGTATAGGTAAAAGATTCACAGTGATGATTTTCTCTAGGTTGCTCAGAGTACTAAGTGGCTTTACAACATCAAGGCAATTCACATATGTGTGGCAGGCAGTCACAGACAGGTTTATTTATTACTATTTAATTTTTTATGTTCCTTTATGTAGAACGGGGAAGTGTTCATGTTTACGGGGATGCTGGATGTTACGGCAGATGTTCACCAGCTCAGCATTATCCTGGGACACGAGATGGCTCATGCTATATTGGGACATTCTGTAAGTACATAACCCTCTATAGTGTGTTCGTGCTTGTAGCATTATACCACCATATAACAACATATTACTTACTGTACTGTAGCACTTGACCTGACATTGGGAGTCAATCACTTATAATATCCTTTCAGGAGTTCCCCTTGACCTTGAAACACATTGACAACACACAAAGACACGGCCACTGCTGAGTGTGAGGCAGAAAACATGGAGACCATTCAGTTACAGAGCCTGAGGTGTTGCAGTGCACAAGACCTGTGTACAGTATGCTGCCATTTGAGAGGATTAGTTGATAGTAGCTGTGTGTGAGGATGAGTCATTGAAAACACAGTGTAAATAATGTTCAAGAACAAAGTTTAGAAGCCCTTGGCACACAGTGTAGAAGTTACAGCTGGACGTCTTCCAGGTCGTTCCCTCACAAGGTTGTAAAATATGTATATGGATCTCCTATAGGTACGTTCATTATACACTGAGATCCCCTGACTATTCATCATCAGCCCCCCCGTCTGAGAAGTATAGTAATGGCTGTAGTGGCATCAGTTGCAGTGCTGTTGCATCAGCCAATGATAAAGACTCACTGACAATCACCTCCAAGCACTCACTAATCCTGTCTTTCTATGATGACCAAAGTCCTGTCGACCTAGGGCACTGTCATGCTTTATTAATTCTCCACGGATGGCTGTTTTTTTTCTCTGCCTACAAAAGCCCATTCTTCTTATTCTAAAAAAGTGTCTAATGAAGTTGTGGGTATTTCAAGACTTTAAACGTCCTCGGAGGAAATGCCTGAAGGAGATTTTAATTAGATGAAGGGAATGAGCATCGATGGGCTCGGTATTACCCAGTAGGTGTGCTCTGTTGGATTGGCTGTTAAAACCTCTAAATCTGTTACAGCGTAAAAGTTCCACTAAAATAGATGGGAACGATCAATATGTTCCAGCTGCCTTGTTCACCTTCCCAAAACTTTGTACCTCTATTTTTCTCTCCTGATCCCATTCTCTCTTTATTTTTCACCCCATACCTTCACTTTCTTCATTCCTTCCTTGTCCCCTCTGTCACCTCCTCCTTGTCATTTCCTCCCCCAGGCAGAACAGGCCAGTCTGTCTCATGTCGTGGACCTCCTGTCCCTTATTCTGCTGACAGCCATCTGGGCCCTGTGTCCTCGAGACAGCCTGGCACTGCTGGGACAGTGGGTACAGGACAAGCTTTCCCAGGTGAGACCCATTCAAGAGTGCTACCTGATTTACCAATAACACAGTTTCCTTCCCTGAACTGAATAAACATCAGCATTTTCACACTACATGCTATATGTTATTGTAGCGCCATTGTTATTGTAGATCTGTCTGAAACCTGAAAATTAGAGCACTGGAATAGACTTGGATTTGGATGATGTGCATCAATCTTAAAATTTGTTCAGCTTCATACATACAACATTTGTTACAACATTTGTCTCTCCCTCAGTTGATGTTCAGCCGTCCCTTCAGTAGGAAACTGGAAGCTGAGGCCGATCAAGTTGGATTGCAGTTGGCTGCTAAGGTATCATCATAAATTTGTTCCTAGTAAAGCACTCCACAGATTTTACACATAAAGTTTAGTGTCATGTGTTCTGTGGCTCTGGAAGAGATATCAAAAATGTCAGTCTGCTTTTGGCCTATTAAGATAACCCTGCTTGGCTTTTAAACCTCAACCGAAACCCTACATTACAGACTGGAGGCGTGGGTGCACGGCACTAGGGGGCACTGTTGTCAAACTAAAGTAAACTAAACTCAGATGATTAGTCCGTAAGGATTTTCATCTCTGCACAGGACAGAGGGATGCCACATTGTGTGTGCGTTTCTGATTCCATGGGTGCGTGTGTCCTTCCCAGGCCTGTGCAGATGTGCGAGCAGGCCCCGTATTCTGGCAGCAAATGGAAATCAGAGACCAGCTGAGAGAAGAGCCCAATTTCCCAGAGTGGCTGTCCACACACCCGTCGCACAGGAACAGATACATCCAGCTGGACCGCCAAATACCACAGGTACAGACACACACAATAAGTCTTGCATAGGGAACCTTACCTCAGTTATATAAGTAAATACAGTCCTGTTGCTCTGACTTGCTTTAAGTACAAGACTCTTTGATCCCTGTGTGAGGAGCGGGCCCTACACCTGTCTGTTGTTTAGGAGAAACGGTGTAGCTTTAGGAGATTTAATGGAGCTAATGAAGCGCCTGGAGAGATGTGTATCCACCTGCAGACATGTGGCGAGGAGGGCAGAGAAGAAGTAGAGACTTGGGGAGGAGAGGAAAAGATGCAAGATTTTAAGAAAACAGGAAAAACATTTTGCCACACAGGGGCCTGGATGCCCGCTTAACTAAAATGTCTTGGAGGCTTTGAGTTGAGGACCTGAAAGAAAGCAACCCCCCACGGTAGCAGCTCCATCTCACAGGCTCACACACTTTGCCGGCACTGTGGCAAGACAATCAATGGTGTTTTAAGCCTAGAAGGTAAGACAACAGTCAAGGCAGTTAAGACAGCAACCTCTATGGAAAGCGTCAGCATCCACAATCATTACGTACATGTGTGTGTGTTTGTGTCTGAGGCAGATAGAGAGATGTACAATGTATGAGGCAGCAGCCAATTTAACCTTGAGCGTGAGTTGGACTGTTGGTACACAGTCAGAGGCTCTAAGCACGAACGACGAACAGATGGGTAAACCGCTAATTGTCCATCAGGTGCCTGTGTCATTCAGTGTGTATGTTCTATGCGTGAGTGTGCGTGTGTTATACCTATGTGCCCGTGCATCGTATCATATCCCTGTGTGGTAGATTGACCTCTAGCAGCAGTCGTTGATGAGGCCAGGCTGCAGCCACAGGCGGTGAAGTGAGGAAGACTGTTGTTTGGGGAATTCATCGGCCTGCACTGCGTTCGTGTGTGTGGTACACCAAACTGTTCGATCCAGAATAGCAGCACATATGAGCAAGTTAACAGCTGAGCTCACTCCGGTGAAAGTGATGCATAATGTGATGTTTTTAACCTTGCGAGGGGTGACAGCATCAAGCTACTTAACCCGACTCTTCTGAGGGCACTCCGCCTCCACTAGTGCGCTCATCATCCTTAAGCAGAGCGCATTAAGTCCAATGGTAGCATGAGAGGGGGAGCCTGTTGAGTGGGAAGCCAAGTGCATGTATGTGCTCAGAGTCTTGTAGGTGATTCTAAGTGAGAGATTAATGAGTTTGGTGGGTGTGTGAGACAGAGAGAATGTCTCTAACTGCTGGGAAGTGCTTGTAGTTATTGCCTACCTGATCTGCTTTCTCAGTCTGTACAAGATTAAAGAAGAACGTTTGCTTGGCTTGTAATATTTTTGTAGTCTGCTCTAGGGATGGCAGCCTGTCTGTCAGTCCACCACTTTGGTCCAGATGGAATTAGCTCAAAAACTACTGGACGGATTGAGAGGAAATTTCTGAATAAACATTCATGTTCTCTAGCGGAAGAAGCAACTTCCTGATCCTTTGACTTTTCCTCTAGTGCCAACATCAGGTTACATTTTTAATATGTCCTAATACTTTTTGACCAAATGCCTGAAAAGCTAATGCCATTTTCATCATCCTCAACTGTAATTTGTGTTGTATGTTGTGGTGCAAATTAGCAAATATTATTATGCTAACACGCTAAACTAAGATGTGTTAGCACTCAGCCTAAAGCCTTGATGTGCTTCAGTACAGCCTCACAGAGTTGCTACCGGAGCGTGACTGTAGACTTCTTGATTCTCGCTGTATCATCCTATTGTGTCTTCAGCATCTGTTTATCTCATTATCTTTGTCTTTGTTGTCTTTGTTTGTTTCTGGTCCTTCACGATGTCCTCTCTGTCGTTCTCACTTTCTCCCTGTTGCATTCATTTCAATTCACAGCTGCGTTCTGATGAAATATCTTATCTACTTATCACAAAGTAAAAAGAACAAGTAACCGATACCGCAAACAAAAACAACGGCTCACCACAACACAGATAAAGATATTTTTCATAGACCTTTTCATATGCATTTTCTGTACTTGTTGTTAATTAACGTCTTAAGTTATGATAAGTCAGTACATATATACCTCTGAGCGTGGCTAAGTCTGTCCCTCACTCTCTCTGTCCAGGCTCTGGAGTTGAGGGAGAGCTGTGTCTGCCCCGCTTTACCTGCTACCGACCCTCGCGCCATCTTCTCCAAGAGCGTCCGTGTGTTGCTGGAAAACGCTAAGGACCAGGGGAGACGAGGGCAAGAAGGTGCACACAAACCCCACCTGCCCCACAGCCCGGCCTCACTACCCAACGGACTCCCTGCAGCTCTGCTTGCCCAAACTGCCCTTTCTCTTTCCCCAAATGTGGAGCAAAAAAGTAAAGGCCCAGTCCCACTCGTAGCTTCAGAGTTAACCGTTGCAGCCCCTATCACTGTTCCTAAAGAGCAGGAAGGATCCCCACACATGGTGCAGAGCTCTAGCTGACAGGGGTGTTAAATCCTCACAAATTTCTACAAACCTCTCGTTTTTCACAAACTAGCTATTTGCATAAGTGAGTGAGTGATTTGTATATTGGTCTGCTCGCATAGTTTCATTGTCTGTTAAATTTCAGAGTCCCTGGGTGCACAGGTGGTAAAGGGGTAAAGTTCTCACCCGCCATCCCAGCGCACTAGACACTCCTCCTGGCTGCCAGCACAATGGAGGGTGGAGCTGGGTAGTGTGAAAAGAAGCTGCTCTGGTCAATATAAATGTGGGAAATTGCTGGATTAAGTCAACAAAATTAAATAGAAAAAAAAACATAATTCAAGGCCTCTCCTAACCTTTCCCTCTACTGCAACAGCCTTCTGACTGAACTTCAGATAATTTTAACCATGCCTTGTGACTACAAAGATGCCACATTAATTAGATAACCTTGAACGGTGAAATGCTGAATGAATCTTAGTAACGCTTCCATACATTGCGAGATTAATATGTGCATTATTCATCAACACACGGCAACAGACGAGAGTAAGCACTTTGTGTGGTGCATGTTGGAGGCTTCGACCATGGCAGGCAGAGGACATCTACATTCTCATTATGACGGCTGCATTCTCATGCCACACACATAGCACTTAATGCATTCTCTAGCCCGGGGGACTTAATGGTGTAAATTTATGCCGGGTTGTTTGCAGGTTTTAAAACACAGCTTTCTGCAGAAGAATGCCAAATATCCACCGTCAAGCTTTAAGAAATCTTTCATGGGATTTTGTAAAATCTTATTTAACAAGGCAAGCTGACTGAGAAAACATTCTTATTTACAGCAACAGCCTACGGAAGCAGTCGCACACTGGAGAGGGGAGGGCAGTTATGGTTCATATCTTGGTAATCTTTGCTGTGTGTGTGTGTTGAAACAAAGTAGCACACTTGGTTAAACTGTGAAATCAAAAAATGACTACTGTGTTTTCATTTGGGATAAATTATTTTTATTTGTGTCATGCATTTTAGGCACAGGGCCTGTATCAGCTTAAAAAAACATCAGTCGACAGTCTTTACATGTGCTGTGGAAGCTTTTGCTGCAAACAGGGTAGGTCTATATTAGAATATGTGTCTATATTAGAATAAGTAGGGGTTGTGCAAAAATGTGCAATGAAAAAGCCAAGGGAATGTAGATTTTTGCATATCAATAACTCAGCAGGAACATGTTCTGTGTGCAAGTAGCAGGCAAAGAATAAAAAAATTTTAAAAATGTGTTATTTTAGCTTTTCTTTTTCATTGCAAGATCCACCAAAATTAAAATGCATTAAAGATAACAACATAAATTAGAGTATTATGGAAACACAGTGTAATATGTAGTGTGTGTGTGTGAAAGAGAGAGGAAAAGATCAGCCTGTGACATTGCATAAGAACATCAAAACCCTCCCTTTGTCACACCAACCAATTAGACAGTGGGTGAAAGATGTAAAAAGATGTAGACTAAGTTTTTGGCAGTTTTCTCTGAAGTGTTCGTGTGTGTGTGTGTGTAAGAGAGAGAGAGAGAGTGTGTGTGTGTGTGGTAGCGACAGGAATCACAGTTACATATTGATGCCAGACTCTGGGGGAAATCCCTTGCCGGCCTCTCCCAGCTGATCAGACAGATGTAACGTTTGGAAATCTCATAGAAAAGATTACACCACACTAGTCATATTCAAATGAAAGCTACTAGAATCCCCATCCGTCAGCTTCACCATGGAGCTTTTGTAATGTCTGCCAACTGTTACAAGTTCTTGCTTCTTGAATACAAGATCAATCTTGTGATATGTCTATTAAAGACCATCGGAGCAACATCCAAGTTCCTATTTGAGCATGAACCTCCCTACTTTCTAACTAAAGCTGGGGTGTCTTAAGGTGTTGCTCCTCCTGGTCAAGCAGATTTGACCCTTTTCAGGACTTCTGGATCAACAGCTCTCATTCATTGTAATGGACACTTCCTGTTTCCTGGTCACATTGTTGTGTACACGCTGAAGCATCTGGATGCAGCTCCCTCACCACTCAGAGAGAAAATTGGAACATGAGCAGGCAACAGATGACACACTCACACCCAGAGGTAATTGTAATGAGCGTGATACAATACGCACACACACACACACACACTGAGCTGAGTAATTGTAGCCTAGTGCTGGAGTCTAAACAATACTGCGACAGAGAGCTTAATCAAGGTAAACAAAGAGACAGCAGTCAGATGGATTGAAAGCACAGAAACAGAAAATAGACAAAGTGGAACCGTGGGGATTGAAAGGAGACAATAAAAGATTTACGTCAGGTGTGTGAGGGGTTATTTACATTTAAATCAAGCATTTGATTTTTAACATTTTAGCTTAAATGCTAGATTCGAATGTCCTGCTGTATTCTATGTAGTTTCTCTGTGTTTGTATGTGTAGCCTTGGGCAGATAAGATCTGTTCCATGAAGTGAGATGTCTACTTTTTGTCTGTAAATTCACCTCAAGTCTCAGATTGTTTTGTGCTTGTGTATTCTTCCGCCCACCAGAGACATCAGACTGCTTCTGAGACCTCCGACAAACTGCTTGCAGGTATTTCACAATATTGACAAGCAGCGTTGAGAACTGGAAGAAGGAACAGAAAAGGTAGCAACACCCACAGCAGAGAAAGCTGAATGCACAATAGACGGCAAACTCAAGATGCTGTTTCCCCAACAAAAACACTCCCAGAGAGAGTCAGGGCAGTGAGAGAGCAACCCAACACATCTGCTGTGTAGGTGGCTGAATGATGTCCCAGAATGCAGTCTGGCTACCCTCTGACCTCCCTGTGGAGTGTTGCTCGAAGTGGCTCATCCACAGTTCCATTTCTTGGATCTGCCCCAACACACACACACACACACACACACACACACATACACATGCATCAGCTGGCTGCGGCGTGTAGAGGGAATATGGTGATGGAAATGTGTGTCTGTGTCTGTGTCTGTGTGTGTGTGTGTGGTAAAAGTTGCCGTGTCCTTCCGCTGTGCATTAATTATACATGTGGCATGTGGGTGTCTGATTGAAATGAATATTTTACTGCTTTTAATCACTGCCATTGCCAGAGTGATGGAGCATCTGGCTGTGTTACCTGGGTAATTAAAGATGCTGTCTCACACACGCACACATACAAGTCTCAGAGGTTGTGTCTGCAGTTTGAGACAGAAGTACTCCAGAGGCTTACTAATGAGTCAAAATTAGATTTGGAATCTTTTAAAGCAATGGGGCCCATGAAATATTTCGCTTTTGTTTAACTTTGATTAGCAAAAAGCTTTTCAAACAGTTCAGGGGGCAATGGGAAACCTCTTTTAGCTGCTGTGGCATTGTGGCAGTGTTGGGCAGAGGTAGCCGTAGAGTCTCTAATCATGTAGAACCATTAGTGTAAACATAAAGTGTAAAATATTTTGTACAGCCTTACACAGCAAGGATGAGTTGTCTTGTTGGAGATGGAGATGAAGAACAATTACTTTCTGCTGTCAAGGAGCAACTTCCTAAGTTTGAATGTGTCACTTTCTGTGCACTGAGACGATTTCCCCCCACTGAACAGAACTGACACCAAAATGTTATTTTTAGCAAATAGGACAAAACTGTGATACTCAGGAAGGCTGGGAATGTTCTCCTCTGGAGCAGTCTAACAGTGTGATCTAAGTAGGCTGGTAACACAGGGCTATTTTTCCCCACATAAAAGCTTTATCTAGATAGTGGAGCTTTTAATGTGAGCTAATGTAGGCGCTAATGTCTGCATTAGTCATACAGTACATACAGTGCTACACTGAGACAGTCATGTTCACTCAGTAAAGCTTAAAATGGTATTGAACCCATATCTGAAAATTGACCTATAGTCTTTAAATCTGGTATTTTTTACATGGTCTTTGGTCAGTGGTTTTCCCGGGCACTGTGCTTCCTATTCCGCAGTGAAGGAACAGTCTGGCACAGGGTCATCGAGGCTATCTGGGTATTCTCTTTCAACACACAATACAGGTCTTCCTCTAATGGCTCCTCGTGTCCTCTCCGTCTGTCTTATCCTCCTGTGATCTGCGCTTGTGTGTGTGTGTCAGTGTGTTCATGGTTGAACTGGTAGAGGTTTTTATAGTCTGGCTGCTCTGATGCTATTAGAGATTAGGATGTTAACACAGTCCCTCATCTGACTGCATCGATCCCAACCCTCGCAGTGGAATCACATTAATACTAACAACGTCAGGTACAAGCTTTGTAGCTCTCTTTAGTCCTCTCTCTCTTTTACATCTGCTTCTCTGTCAGTGTTGATTTAAATTTGAATAAACAGCTTTCTTTCCAGTCTTTCAACAAGGAGAGGGTGCAATCTAATGAATGGAATGAAGGAAGGAAGATTTCAGAAGCAGAGGGGGACTAGAGGATGTGAAAATGAGATGAGATGAAATGGTTTAAATCAGTCTTCCTCAGCTGCTCTGACACCGGTAGCTTTCAGTGTTTGAGCACATACATCAAGCCGCAAGCATATTAAGATAGTGAACAAGTTCTTTTTATAAGAAAAATGAAGAGCAGGCAACAGTACGGTTTACTCAAGGACGGGTGATGACAAAGTGAGATTAAAGATTGTTGATGACAAGGAAATTATATTGTATAAATATATTTTACATTTGCCTCTTTTTACTCTGTAAAATGGCAGATCTTCATGAATTAGTTTTAAACCATGTTTTACAAAATGTGTCTGGCCAGCCATGAGTTGAGAAATTTGAGTTGGCGTAAACAAAACAAAAACCAAACCAAATCTCCCATCCCTGTGTCCATAAGCAGCAGTGCATTATATTCTGCTTCTCACCTCCCCTGTGATCCCTATGAATATATCAAAACAACATGGGAGAGAGGAATTCAGACCAAAACACTCATTGTCAGCTGAATTTAACAAACCGTGAGAGACCTGGTACTACACTACTGACAAGGACGGTAGGTGGTTTTTGATGGCTTCTACTCTAGAAGAACACTCAATTCAAATGATGAAAAGGTTTGATTTCATTCATGCACACGCTGTAGGGCTGCAGAAGAGGAGCGTTCACAAAACTCTATGTCAGATATTGGAACCTCTCACCAGCTCATAAAAGTGCCATGGTCTGCACTGACTTACATTGTGTAAGGAGTTTTTTACCATATTAGTAGCCTCAACAATATGATGAAATGCTAGGTTTGAGATAGTGTTAGTCCACCAAAAGTTGAGGTTCAGTAGCTTTCTGTTGTTCTTGTTTTATTTTACTGCCAATAAATCATTTTGTTAACCCTTAGGGGTTCCTTTAAAAAAATCACACATCTGTTCCTAAGGCAGAAAACTGCC